TGTCCAGAACGGAAATCTTTGAGAACTTCCTTAGTAGAGTTATAAGCGTCATATTGGATATTAGTATGGTTACTGGTTGCCCTCCACAGGTCGTTAGTTGATTCATTAGGAGAAGATTTTAAAGCTTTTAGTCGGAGGACTGTTTGACACTGGATAAATTTTACAGATGGAGGATAAATACTCAGGCCAAATTTGTTATTTGTTAGAAAGACAGTACTTAGTGTTCCTGATATTGGTACTTCAAGCCATCTGCGGATATATTTGTTGGCAATAGAGTCGATATTTTCAGTAACCCATGTTTTAGAGAGTGTTGCGACGGTGAAGTGCCAGGCTAACTTGGACAAGACGTAGCCGAAGACGTAGACGTATACGTAGACGTAGACGTAGACGTATTATTATTATAATAATAATAATAATAATAATAATAATAATAATAATAATAATAATAATAATAATAATAATAATAATAATAATAATAATAATAATAATAATAATAATAATAATAATAATAATAATAATAATAATAATAATAATAATAATGGAAACTTTATTAAAGGGGGATAAGTCCCTTCTGCGCATGTGCCCGGCGTTTGTTTATGTTTTGATACATTACACATGTTATAACATGAAGTATTGGCATTTTACAACAATATTTTATCAAAATGGCGATTGAAATGAGCGAAACTTTATATAGTTCACTTGTTTGTGTGGTGGTGCCTGCTTTTTATGAGATATATAGAAACTTTTGACTTGTACAAGTTTGAATAATTTTCCTTTTGAACCGCATAGCGTGATAAACACGCCGAATCATGCATGAAGTATGATCAACCGACGAATATGTCATTGAATTGCTCAATGCTCGATTGCTCTTTACTCAACAACAAGCTGACAATATTGAGTACACAACAGTAAGTTTAATGGTTTATATGTTGTTTGTTGTTCATAAATTCTAGTCTGCATGTTTTTGCATGGATTAACCATATATGAAAGCTTATTTTTCGTAAATACTGCACAAAATATATAGTATACCGCATTTGAATTGATTAGTAGATATATTTTTATCTACAATTTATAAAACTGATATACGAGTTGGACAATATTTTAAACCAACTGCATGTCCTGTTTATATATAGCTAAACTCTTAAAGCTTATATAATTATTTTATTTGCAAAGATTGAAATGGTGAACAAAACAAGTTTTGATTTTTTTCCCATTGCTAGCAGCAGCCTTGTCTTTGCCATTTGTCATGCTATTGTAAATTATGCAATTAACCTGAAAGTTATATTGCTTCCATGCATTAGGACACTTTCTCAAACACCATAAAGGCAGATTGCTATTGGGACAAGTGGTTAATAGCATGAAGCATGAAGATCTCTGAAAGAGGCAAACCTATAGTCTGACTGCATCAATTTTGAACATTTCTATGCATGACAGGATTTAGTGGAAGATGTAAATGTTCAAGACTATCTGTGGAGAAAACACCGGATGATATAGCTAATGGTGAAATTCAAACGGGTTTCTGGCTGTAATGAGTGCTGCTGAGAGGTGGGGGCATTTTGGCATGGGACCCCAGATTGATGGGACCCCAGATTAAAGGGACCCC